CCCGACCACCACGTCAAGGTAGCAGCTTCGGTCGGGCACTGACTAGTAGACTGAGTCATGTTGGTAGATGTAGACTACCTGGTTGGGGTCCGCGAGACGAAAGTCACCGATGGTTAGAGACGTTAAACGACATGGCTCAAAATCGTTTGCAATGGCGCAAGTGCATCCATTCGTTGAGCTCTCTCAAATCCTAATCTTCTGGATTCGTCAGCACCTATAACTTTGTCTTTCTAACCTTACTTCACTTAATTATACTTCTTGAATAATATTTTCGAACCATAGTCTTCTTCATTCCCATTAATACCTCTACTATCTTTATCAATATGGGATTAGATTTGACATCTGCGTGCTTGTGCTAATGTGATATAGCAACATGAACTTATGTACATACGTACGAAGTTCTACGTTGCAACTGACTGACTGACCTTTGGTTACGAGTATACAACACAAAACTGTATGAATTGGTAGTAATCAGGTGTGTATTCAATATTCTCTCGTATCTTTAATATTATTATTTAGATCCAATGATTGAGATAAAATTACAGAAAAGAAATAAATGAATTAAACATAAAATATGAATAGTACAACATCTAAGAAAAAAAAGGGAAAAAAAAAACAAGAATAAACTGTTCAACACAAAGATGATGAAAGTTGATTTGTGAATTCTACAACGGATTTGAAAAACGAATAATAAATTATTTTTTTTTACAATGAAATGAAAATAAATTATACAGCTGGTGCGAACTGCATCCACACGTTAACACACATTAAATAGATGTACAAAAGGGACATATGATTGATTCTAAAATAGAATTAAAATATTATTTTTAAAAAAAAGCAATAGTTAGTTTTCAGGACTACTTATTATTTAGTAAACAGAATAAATTTGAACAGGCAAAAACTAAATAATTCAGTTTGATTTCTGAACGATTGGAAATACTCAGAACAGTCAGTCAATCAGTTAGTCAGTTACAACGTAGGACTTCGTACGTACGTACATGTTGCCATACCACATTAGCACAGAGATGCGACTGTCAGTTCAAGTCCCATAGTCGTAGAAATCACAATTCCTAAATGCCATTATGTTTCTACATACCAAAACCATACGAATAAAACGATTCTAATCACGCTTCCTGGATAGTACATGTCCACTCTTTGTGTTTGCTCAAATTCTAACCTTCTGGAGTCGTCATCACCTCTAACTTTCCTTGTCAAAAGTTATCTCACTGAACAATGCTTCTTGAATAATATCTTGGAACCCTAATCTTCTCAATTACCAGTAATACTTCTGCTACTTCTACCACTATGGGATTTGAACTGGTATTTGCGCCTCTGTTCTAATGTGGTATGGCAACCTGAACTTATGTACTTATGTAAGAAGTTCCACGTTGTGACTGACTAAGTACATGTCCAAAGTTTCATATCAATGGAAGATCGTATTTCGTTGATGATGAAACTATCTAGCAACACATTAAAGTGATTGATAAATGCTTTGTTAAATTGCATCCCTATTGAATCGAACTCACGTTTTTGTTAGGTATAATAACCTATTATTAGTTAGTATAGGTGATTTTTTCTTAGATCCCACATTTTACTCTTAATATCTATGTGTAAACACTATTTTAATCGACAAGCTCTTTGGTTTTTACTTTCAGCATTCACTAGTTTACCACTACTACATTTGTAATCGATAACTGATTGTTATACTCTATAGATTGAATAAAATCAGTTCTCAATTTTATTTTTTATATTTTATAAATTTATTACAATGTTTTGAACTATTATTGTTGACACATAACTTGCATGTAATTTGTATCCTTGACTATTTTATACTTATTTACAAAGGTAAACATTGCAAATGAATTTCTCATTTTCGATATCCCTAGATATCTTATAAAATATTACAAATTCAATAGTGGTTAATGGTTATGCAAACTGAAACATGTGATTAGATACCACTTATCTTGACTGTAAACTAGTTTCATTCCATTTGTAATAATTTTACAAAATATATAAGTATTATTTGTAAGTTAAAATGGTGTAAAATAACGAAGTCACAGGTTATCACAGTTATTGATGCGATAGCTTATTAGTTCAAACATTTGACATTGAACTACTAAGTTTTTTTCAGGTTTGAATCCAGCTTTGCTGTCATTAACAGATTCGAACAATATAGTTATCTAGCAAAAAAAGGTATAGCTACAAAACAAGTACATAAATGCGTACTTGCTTTATAAGTTACATGGAGAAGAATTTTCAAATATATTATCTGGTTTATTATACTAACAGAATCTGAACATAATAGGTATCATCTACACTAATGAAATAACATTTCTTCAGATTATTATAATACTAGAATAATACGCACAATAACTTAACTGTTACATGATTACACTGTTTATTTTAGTCTTCAATGAATATCTGACAAATGGCTCACTATTCAAAACCTATACGATAGTTCGGGTTGACATTGTTATATTATTGAAATCCACCAATCAATCATTGTTAGACCACCATTAGGAACCTGGAAGCATTGGACAGCCGTTTCGTCCTGGTATGGGACTCATCAGTAGTGCGCATCCACGACTCCTGCACTTCGCAGGATTCGAACCCAGGACCTTCGGTCTTGCGCGCGAACGCCTAACCTCTGGACCACTGGGCCGGCATCCGACGATGTTAATGTCTAACTCTGATGCGCACTGCTGACGAGTCGCATACCAGGATGAAACGGCCGTCCACTGCTTCCAAGTTTCTAATGGTGGTTTAACAATGATTGATTAATGATTTCAATGTGCAACAAACACTGATCTCCATAACTCTAACTGAAAAATTGTTATATCAGCGTTTTCCTGCTTTCGTTTAGAAGTAGAATTATGACTATTAGATTTAAGCATACAACTACTAACTACTGTATTAAATTTACATTTCAATCGTTCCACGTAAAGAACAGGTAAATTTATCTTATCAACAGAAGTGGCTTTATATGCAAAACCACATCAATGGAACTTCAAAACTTCACTCCATGAAACTTGATTTTTCGTAAACGGATAATAGCAGTATACTAATCGCATGAAAGTCAATCAGACAAATGAATCGCATTTAATCTAAAACTAGTTATGATACATTAAATACTTACATTTAAACAATTTAAGTCTGATATTTAAATATTATTGGTTATCTTCAATCATTATTGTTGAGGTTGTTCTTGTTGTTGTCTTGGTGGTTGTTCATTATTATTACTGTTTGATTGATGATTCGTTGATGGAATAGGTTGTACAACTAAAGTTCCAGCAATAATATCGTATGTACATCGATGATATTGAAATATCAGCATACAAATGAATGAGAAGAAAGTAAGAAAACTTGTACTCTTCAACAGCGAACGTACAAGTGCTCTATTAAAAACAAAAAAAAAATTTAAAAGAAATCGGTTTATCATACGTTGAAATACTATTGAAGAGTTTCATTCTAAATCAACAAAAAGATTCAATCTTAAAAATTGCATAATGAAGAGTAGACTAAGAATTCTTAATTTGGTGTAAACTATGAATTCTCCTTAACCTTCTTTAGTCCCTAGGAAAATATTTTGTCAGACTGCGAGCAAAAGATGGTACGTACTAACCAAATCTTGTGTACTCGAATTTCTTTTTCGTTACTTAGCTTTATTTTCTGATGCTGCTTAGAAAATAATATACTGTGTAGTGTATAGCACTGAAGAAATGAGATATCAATCATACGTATGTACATCAGTTCTAGTTGCCAAACTGCATTAGCACAGAGAGATGAAACAATCAGCTCAAATCTTATTATGACGGAAGTATTAAAGGTAATCGAAAAGATTGGGGTTCGAAAATATTATTTAAGTATGATCTACTGAAATAAATTTTAAGAGAAAAAGGAAGGTATTTAGCTCATGAGGTCATGAGAGAACACAAAGAATGTGAGCACCTGCGCCATTACAAACGTTTTTGAGCCATGTCAGTCAAGGTTTCTAACCATCAGTTACGAATATCTCGCGGAAACCAACCAGGTAGTCTACATCTACCAACATGACTCAGTCCATTTGTCAGTGACTTCATGGATTTGTGCCATTTTTTGGTTTGGCCGACTTGAACGTTTTTCCAGCCTACTCCTGCATCACAAAACATTGATTTTCAAGGCAATCGATCTCCAGGCATACGTAACATATAACACAACCACCTCAATTAATGCATCAATTGATTTGCTACCCTTACCTAACGGCAGCATTGATTAATCGGTGGTCCCAGGACATACGAGCGATACTTCCAAAACACCTATGATCGAAAACCAGTAACCTACCAGCATTGAAGTCGCAAGCCATTACTAATATATCAGGGCGTTTAACTTTTTGAAGCAGGTCCAACAGCTTTCTGTAAAACTCATCTTTCAAGTCATTTGAACTGCAGTTAGTAGGAGCGTAGTCAGCGACAACAAAGAGGCAACGGCGAGTATCCTTACCTTTACAAGTTCTTACTGTCCTGTTTAGTTGGACAGCACACAAGTGACCATCTACCGGGATCCAGTCTGAGAGCTAGTTCTGCCCTAGGACTCAATGCTGTACCTACACCAGCAAGGCTACGGGAAGCAGTAACAGGGCCTCCGGATACACGAAGCCTAAACCGAGCTGACTCTTTATTTTGACAAGTTGGAGTTAAATGAATGACTATGTTTGGATCAATGGCGCGAGATTCCAGAGCCTTAGCTAAAGAAATATGTTTCCCTATTTTCGAATACCTTGACAACAACGTCACGACTAACTAAACTGAAGCTGATTTTTGCTACATTCTGCGTTAGTGCAAACTAACTGGTTTAGTAGCGTTTTTCTACTTAATATCTTTATAATAAACAATTCACCGATTATAATGGTGCAACAAATGTCTATTGTTCTATGTTTTCAAGTAATCTTATGAGCTGTTATGAAGAGTTAGGATTCATTTAAGCAATAACTGTGTTATAATGATAATAATAATCAGGGACAATTTGTTTTCAATTTGAATCCAAATGATAGTCTTTAGTCTGCTCTTAATGTCACACTTCATTGTGCACTTTCAGTTTAACCTGTTTTTACTATATTTTATATCGTCTCTGTCCATCTATATTTGACGTCCATTTAGAGGGGGATCAGCTTAGTACACTTGTGCTGAACAAACACATAACGTTTTTAATTAGCACCCTATTATACTATCAAAATTTGTAGACAACGAATTATTTTTAACTATATTGTAAATGAACAGAACAAATTATGGTGCATAAATAGTCAGTAATATATATATATATATATATATATATATATATATATATATATATATATATGATTAAAAATAAAAATTGCACATCGCAACAGATATAGGTACCTATGTGTTTCTACTGAGATCGAATACCGAGACCTAGACGTGTTGGCCGGGTTTGCTTATTGTGATGATCCAACCGAGCTATACTGGCTGAAATATATGTTCCTGTAGGTTCTAACACGCCAGGCAGGTCGGTTAGAGAACGGTAAGACTAAAAGCAGCAACTTAAGGTCTGAGAGCGAAGTCGTACAATTGGCTGTAGAGAGGCGTTTCCTTCAAACAATCAGTATCTGCGGAAATACTGACTTCACAACGGAAGGAAGTGGTCGATTCTAAAAATGTCACAACTCACCCCAGGGATTTACGCCTCCGTCGGTAAGGCCTTTTGAAGGGATGAACTAAAACCTCAAATACTTCCCATAACAAGGCCACGCATGGATAGCTAGGGGTGGCCAAACCAAAACATGGCACAAATACATGAAGTCACCGACAAGTGGACTGAATCATATGTAGACTACCTGGCTGGGTTCCGCGAGACGATAGTAACCGATGGTTAGAGACCCTGAATAACATGCCTCAAAGCCGTTTGCAATGGCGCAGGTGAACCCACTCTTTGTATTCGCTGAAATTATAATCTTCTGAGTTCTCCTCACCTTTTCTCTTTCTAAAGTTATCTCACTGAATTATACTCCTTGAATAATTTCTTCGAACCCTAATCTTTTCCATTACTGCTAATACTCCTACTATATCTGCTACTACGGGATTTGAGATGACAATTGCGTGTGTTGCCTTTGGCGACAGGAGCTTAACTACGTACGTACGAAGTTCTAAGTTGTAACTGACTGATTAGCCATACATTATTATGCGAGGAAATTATTAGGAACAGAAAATAATGAATCAGTCTGTGCCACGTTTAAAATCTAAAAACGATAATTTTCATTTGGCGTCTAGGAGACCGTAAGTGAATGCATTTGCATCAGTGACAGGTGTTGCGTCATATCATCCAAGGACTGCAAAGACTGACTACAAGCATAGACTGGGCCCGAAGCTAGAGCTTCGCATAAATTGATACAGCAGCCTATGACACAATGGCCTTACCATCAAAATAAAACGCCCAGAACTCACCGAACAATCCCCAGATCAGCTCCTGGAACTACCTCAACGACATCTGGAAAAGGTATAATTTCTTCACATGAAACAACCTTCAGATTCATTAACCATTTCCCAAAGGTTGCACCTCCAGGATCAGATCCGAAAATTGAACGCCTAATTAGGATTGCCTGCATAAAATGAGAGTAACTTCATAATTAGTCCTCAAAAGATACTAATTTACACTAGTTGCATAAGTAATTGCTTTATACTAAATCAGGTAGCATACATTAATATCAGTAATCTTGTCATACTTTGCATCAGCGGAATGAATGGAGATTTAAAATCAAGAGTTGAAATAATGTGAATCGTAGTTGAGGATTAGATACAATAAGCTAGATTTACACGATGATTATCTAACAAACTTACCAACGTGACGACTTACAGCAACCTCATTGGCCCAAAGATACTGTCGATAACAGCTGGTATGTCTCAGTAACTCTAAAAACATCCTACACCAAACTCTTACTAACCCATTCCCATTCTCACTCACCTTGTGCAATGATTAATCACTAGAACCAATGATATGATTAGCTACAGTCAGAGAGTTACACACACATGAATGAATCACAGACATGCAGTCGCATGAGGTAAAATCCCACTAGCCAGTTAGTGGAGAAACCAATAACGATGGAACGTAAAACAGGTTCATGGTGTGCAGGAGTCAAAGCTTAGTAGTCTCATTTACAGGTTAGACTACGTACGACAAACTATTCAGATATCGCAATCAGATATCAAGAAAAGCAAGCTATCTCGAAACTTTTATAGATCATCAGAGATCAACACAACCATGAAAACAAGTCACTCTGAAATGAAATCAAAGTTCGACTTAACATGTTTTTATTAAGTCTCATGTTTCGTAAACTGACAGTAAAGGTTTCATGGGAGACATTGAGACTTATCAGGTCAAAAAATTCACATTGTATGGGTGTGCAGACGCTTATCATTACACTACTAATGTCAATAGACTAAAACAATGTAGGATATCTTACCTCCAGGAGGGCACTTAGAAACCGTCCTATCTGATCAGCCAGTATAATCGTCTCGAAATCCAAAAGGTCTTCTCTTGCACCCATGTGGGCGAAGAACAACGACCTCCAAATGCTTGATATTCGAAAGTCTCTTTCGTTGGACTCTGACTTCGCCCACCCATGCGCACGTCGCAGAGTACGATATTCCGGGACCCCAGAGAGTATGTCCGAACCCATGTTTTTAGCCAACTGACTGAATTCGTCTAGTAAGTTATTCGTATAGAGTCTTACATTAAACTGGAGTCATTTCTGATGAAATATAATATGACCAGTTTCAGTGCCATCATTATTGCGAAGTCGATACACTCAGCAGCGATTCGGCGACAAGGATGTGGTATTAAGTATCGTCGAGCTAAAAGTGAACATAATCATCAAAAAATTGTGCTTACAATGTGAACTTTGCCTTCCATCTGATTGTGAGCTAGTACTATTGGAACCAACGTTGCGTGAGTATAAAGACTGAAACAATCCCATCTCTTGTTTGTACTTCTTGAGAGCAAGTGCATTTGCACTCAGATATTTTTGCTGCTCAATAAGAGAACTTTCAAGTCGCCTTTGAACACTGGCCACACCTTCATATTGCTTTTTTACCCAACCCTCTAGCTTATCATAATACGAATCCCAGCCCATCATCGGCCCAGATACCAAAATAGCGCGGAGAGATATTTGAGGAGTGGAAATGAACAGCGACCTTGAAACGAAGCACGTAAAAATACTTCTAAAAATACTTCTGTGGTCTGAATCAGTTGTATGAATGGCGCTGTCACTTCAGATCAGAAATTCAATATTGCTTATTTTCAGGTTGACACATTACAAAAAACAAACGCTTGGTCACTTCTCCTAGGTAAAGTTTCAGCTTTAATTTTACTTGGCAAAATCAGTGGCAGGATCTACATCTGGGTAGTTAAAGTGCAATCTTGGTTATAGTAAAGTGTAACCATCGTTATACCTTATCTATGAAGCGAAAAGTAAAATAGCAGTATCTGAAGAGAAACTTTCATAGTAGATATATTCAGTTCTTAAAGAACTAAAGTAGTTTTAAAGATTTATACTGAAGGTTTCAATAGAAGATTCTATCGCTTTCGCTTCCAGTATAGGGTTACATAACTTTTTAATCCAAACGGAGAAGTGGTACCTACAGATTTCTCTACCAGCTGTATCATGTTCAATATTGGGTGTAGTTTTACTTGAGTGTATCAATGGTTTATTCAGATAGAGGAAAAGAACTATAAGCAATATAACATTTAAAGATCATTTCCCATCTTATTCGCTTTTACAAAACTCGATTTAGGTTAAGAGACGCGGCGCCATCTGAGTAGAGTTCATTTTTTAGTCTAAGTAACTTTATAATAATAATAATAATAATAATAATAATTTATTCTCAAATCACAAACATGTCACAAGAGACATGCCAATTTACAGGCAAGATCAAAATGTTAAGATTAGCAACATATTTCCTTTAAAACGGTATACAGTTACTGAAACATTTCACAAGATTCATTGTTTTCTTAAAGATGGAATGTACAATGCAAATAATTGGCGCAAGTTACGAAGGATGCGTTACGACAATCATCTTATGGACTGAGAAACGATTCAT